CACACCTGTGGTTTCCAGCCAAACAGAAGACAGGCATATGAGTTGAACATTTACCTGAGGTAGATACACGCCTTGGAGAGAACAATCATTGAGAAAGAAGGACTGCCTATGCACAGGGAGACAGCTCAGGTGGCAGGAGTCCATGGAGGGATGGACAGTGGGAAGAGATAACTATGGGGAAGAAGTGGGAGGGGAGTTGTTGCATTGTCGTAAACTGTGGTCAATGTCATGAGACAAAGTATATGTAAACTGCTGTATGGAAAGTGAATTTGCTCTGTTAATCTTCACCCAAATCTCAATCAATCAATCAATCAATCAAAAGATCAAAGACCAAATGTGGGTAGTAAGCGGAAAATATACTCTATCTGGCTCTTAACAGAAATTTGCCAGCCCTGATATAGAAAAATCAAGATTGGCCATATGTTGAAAATGATTGAAGCTCAGTGATGGGTACATAGGGGATCATTATACTATTCTGTCTGCATTTTTACATCTAGTGTAGTAAATTACATAGCGTGGCTTTTCTAGCCATATGTCTTTGTAACTCCGTAGTGGAATTTGCCATGAGCAACTGAGTAGCTCCTGACTGTTAAAATTATCCACCTGGGATATTTCTGTTGGGAGCAGCACAAAGTAATGTTCTGGGAAGTTTGCTCTCTCTCTCAGATGTATGGAATTCTGATGTTGGGACTGTTTAGTTTGGCCACTCTGCCAGGCTCAAAAGGAGCCCTCCTAGAGGCAGAAGGAATCTCTTACTGTGGCTGAGAGACGTGAGAGACTCACACTGCTGAGAGAGAGACATGAGAGATATGCACTGCTGAGAGACTGAGAGGCACACACTGCTGAGAGATGCAAGAGGTACACACTGCTGAGAGAGAGACCCAAGAGACACACAATGCTGAGAGACACAAAGAGACACACATTGATGGGAGAGAGACTGAGAGAGACTGTCAGCTAAGAGACTGAGAGAGACTGAGCGTGTTCCTGAACTTGAATTGTAGCCTGTTGCTTCCCTAATAAACCCCATAATCTGTGAGTTCTGTGGCAGCTACACAGCAAATTATCAAACCCAGTAGAGAGGTGGTGGGTGCTGTGGGAGGAACGGTTGGTGTTAGGGTTGGTGAAAGGGCTAGAGGGAAGCAGCATGTCTGGCTTCACATCAATGGGCCTTGAGCTACTGGCGGTGATTCTGTCTTCCTCTTGTGGGTTTAGAGGAGGTCAGAAGATGTGGCCTCCCTGCCCCTTTGGCATACATATTTTAAAATTTTTATAATAAAAAGCTAAAAAGAAATCCTGATCCTGTAATGAAGGAAATTTGAATGTTTTCTATCCAAACAAGTTCATGGTGAAAAAGAAAATTAAGATAACAAAAAATGTATAAATATGTATATATATTTAAATTTGTTTATATTTAAATATGTGTATATATTTAAACATGTATGTATGTATATTTAAAACATATTTACATATTGTTGTTGTTGTTAGGTGCCACCAAGTTGGCTGCAACTCATAGCAACTCTATGTCCAACAGAACAAAACACTGCCTGGTCTTGTGCCAGCTTCACAATCATTGCTATACCTCAGCCCATCGTTGGAGCTATCATGTCAATCCATCTAGGTGAGGGCCTTCCTCTTTTTCATTGACCCTCCACTTTACCAAGCATGATATCCTCCAGAGAATGGTCCCTTCTGACATGACCAAAGCAGGTGACATGAAGTCTGGTCATTCCAAGGAGCATTCCGGCTGCACTTCTTCCGGGACAGATTTGTTAGTTCTTTTAGCATTCCATGGTACTTTCATTATTCTTCACCAACACAACTCAAAAGCATCAACTCTTCTCAAGCCTTCCTTATTCACTGTCCAGCTTTCGTATCCATATGAAGCAAATGAAAATACCATGGCTTAGGTTAGGTGCATCTTAGTCTTCAAAGAAACATCTTTGCTCTTCAGCAGTTTAAAGAGATCTTTTGCAGTAGATTTGCCCAGTGCAATACATCATCTAATTTCCTGACTGCTGCTTCCATGGGTGTTGACTGTGGAACCAAGTAAAATGAAATCCTTGATCACTTCAATCTTTTCTCCATTTATCATGACGTTGCTTATTGGTCCAGTTGTGAGGATTTTCGTTTTCTCTATGTTGAGGTGTAATCCATACTGCAGACTGTAGTCTTTAATCTTTATCAGTAAGTGCTTCAAGTCATCTTCATTTCAGCAAGCAAAGTTGTGCTGTCTGCATACTGCAGGTTGTTAATGAGTCCTCCTCCAATCCTGATGCTGTGTTCTTCTTCATAGTCCAGCTTCTCAGATAGTGAAAGGATACAACTGTGATGCATTCCCTTCCTGATTTTAAACCTTGCAGTATCCCCTTGTTCTGTTTGAACGATAGCTTCCTGGTCTATGTACAGGCTCCTCATGAGCACAATTAAGTGTTCTGGAATTCCCATTCTTCTCCATGTTATCCATAATTTGCTATCCACACAATCTAATGCTTTTGCATAGTCAATAAAACACAAGTAAACATCTTTCTGGTATTCTTTGCTTTGAGCCAAGATCCATCTAACATCAGCAATGATATCCCTCATTCCACCTCCTCTTCTGAATTCAGCTTGCATTTCTGGAAGTTCTCTGTGAATATACTGCTGCAACCATTTTTTAAATTATCTTCAGTAAGATTTTTCTTAGCATGTGATGTTAATGATCTTGTTCGATAATTTCCACATTCTGTGGGATCACTTTCTTTGAAATGGGTACAAATATGGATCTCTTCCAGTCACTCGGCCTGGTAGCTGTCTTTCAGATCTGTTGGCATAGCCCAGTGAGTGCCTCCAGTGCAGCATTCATTTCTTGAAACATCTCAATCGGTATTCCATCAATTCCTGGAGCCTTGTTTTTCACCAGTTTCATCAGTGCAGCTTTGACTTCTTCCTTCAATATCACTGATTCTTAGTCATATGTCATCTCCTGAAATGGATGAACATCAACCAATTCTTTTTAGTACAGTGACTCTGCGTATTCCTTCCATCTTCTTTTGATGTTACCTGTATCATTCAATATATTGCCCATAGCATCTTTCAATATTGCAACTCGAGGCTTAAATTCTTTCTTCAGTTCTTTCAGCTTGAGAAATGCTGAGCGTGTTCTTCCCTTTTGGTTTTCAAACTCCAGGTCTTTGCCCATTTAATTATAATAATTGACTTTGTCTTCTTGAGCTGCTCTTTGAAATCTTGTTTAGCTCTTTTATCTTGTCATTTCTTCCATTTGCTTTAGTTACTCTCCATTCAAGAGCAAGTTTCAGAGTCTCTTTTGACATCCATTTTGGTCTTTTCCTCCTTTCCTGTCTTTTTAATGACCTTTTCCTTTCCTTATGGATGATGTTCTTGATGTCATTCCACAGTTCCACTGGTTTTCGGTCACTGGTGTTCAATGCACCAAATCTTTAGATGGTCTCTAAATTCAGGAGGGATATAATCAAGGTCGTATTTTGGCTCTTGTGGATTTCTTTTAATTGTCTTCAGCTTTAACTTGAACTTACACATGAGCAATTGATGGTCTGCTGCACCACTCATCTGTCAGTTTGTCATACTGTGGTGGCTTGCGTGTTGCTGTGAGGCTGGAGGCTAAGCCACCAGTATTTCAAATACCAGTAGAGTCACCCACAGTGAACAGGTTTCAGAGGAGCTTCCAGACTAAGACAGACTCAGAAGAAGGAAGGGGCCATCCCTCTTCAAAGAACTGGCCAGTGAAAATGTTTAAATATGTATATATATTTAGAAGTCCTGATGGAAATGGCAACATATCCCTGAAATCTTGAAGTCAATGGCATGAAAAATTAAATTTTTGTTGAGTTCAATAATAAATGAAATTTGTGATTAAGATCATTACTGCAGACAGACTCAAAATGTGATCCACTATGTGGTAAGGCAAAAAGACTATAATTTTCCAGTAGGTTTTCTGTTTGTTTGTTTTTGAAAGGATTATAGAATCCTCAGAGATCACAAGGGCTCCTAAGGTCAGTTCACAGGATTCATTTTAAGACTTGTAAAAGGGCTGCCAACTGTTTGTCATTCTCTAATTTCTCTTACCTCCTCTTTCTGCATTCACAGCTGACTCCACTGAATCAACACAAACTTCCATGAGAAATCCACTTTCTGCTCCTAAAATAAATTGAGAAAAATGCAAATTCATGAAGGTACTGTTGTTGTTGTTATGTGCCATCGAGTCGGACTCGACTTATAGCGACCTCTCCTTGGGTTGCTGAGGCAGTATCACTACAGAAGTAGATTGCCCCATCTTCTTTCCGAGGCGTGGCTGGTGGGTTTGAACCACCAGCCTTCTGGTTAGCAGTCAATTGCCTTAGGCACTATACTACATCCAAAATAAGCTAACATGTACAGTTTACATTTTCTGCCAAAATCCAAATGTCTAATAATAGGGAAGGAGATAAACACCCTAGAACCCATGAATGGGATGAAATACATTAATTATAAAACTGATGGTTATGAAATAGGTACATAGATATATATAAAAGAAATACTTAGAAAAAAATGTATACTGAATGCCAAATCAATCTTCCTAAAACACAAGCCTCCTCATCACATTCCAGTTCAGATTCCTTCAGTGCTTCTCAATGCCTGCAAAGTATGTTTAACCTTCTTTATGAGGAATGTGTTTAAGAACAGAGACTGAGTTCAAAGCCAGACGACACCACTTATTTATTGTGTGATCCTAGTGAAGTTAAGGAACTCTAGTGGTGTGGTGCTTAAGGCATCTGACCAGAAGGTTGGCAGTTCACACCCCACCAGGCACTCCACAGAAGGAAAATGAAGCAATCTATTTCTGTAAAGATTTACTGCCTTGGAAACCCAATGGGAGTTGCTATGAGTCAGACTCAACTTGGTGGCACTGAGTTTAGTAAAGTAACATAAGCTTAACCTATGCCTCAGTTTTCTATAACATAGGGTAGGTTTTAGTACCTATCTCAGAGTAGTGAGAATTAAATGAGATAATTTACATAAATTACATAGCCTCTCACTCACTCACTGCCATCGAGTAGATTACAATTCATAGTGACAGACACCCACTAGGTTTCCAAGACTGTAAATCTTTATGGAAGCAGACTGCCTCATCTTTCTTCCCCAGAATGTCTGGTGGGTTCAAACCACCGACCTTTTGGTCAGCAGCCAAATACCACTACACCACCAGAGCTCCTTATAGAGCACCTATTAAGAATTGAAACATTTAAGTATTATCACTGATAAACACCACATTATTTTCTTTATATGCTTTCAGTTCCTCCCACCTGCCACCCCTGCTCTTGTTTATGCCATCTCCTCAACCCACAAAGTCCTTCCAGTTCCATCTTTTAACACCAAAATCAAAGATTTCAAGGCTCACTTCAAATCACATTTCCATGATTTTCCCTCTTTCCCAAAGTAGGAAATTACATCTCCCTCTTTTGAACTCACGTAACTCTTCATGAATTAAACGTTTCTCTTTAAAACACTAACTGTTCCTCTTTTAATATATAAATTTCTTTCTACCTCTTATTATTGTTTATGTACTTAAGCGTCCGATCACGTTCCTACTTGATCTAAAGTTCCTAAATAAGATGCTTGTGAGAAATTTTTATTATCACCAACAGCAAGCACAGTATCTACCAAGTATACATGTCACTCAAATATTTACTCAAGGTTGAGTAATTGCAAATTCATTTTAAAATGTCATATATTTACAATAAAAAGTGTGCTGTAAACAGAGTTTTCATTTTTAGTAAGTTAAGCACATATTAAAAAATTAAAAATACTGAATGCATTCAATATACTTCAAAGGATGTTCAGCATGTACTAATAATGGTTACAACTGGGTTACGGGATTCACAATTTTTCTTTTTTATAATTCTCCATATTGCTTGATTTTTTCTACCCAATATTGTTTTTCTAATAAGTTATTTTTAATTTGAAAAACAAAAATCTATCATCTGCTAGTATCAGATTGGAATTGCCTCATTTATTTAAAGGAAAATGATCGATTCCAAACTGTGACAAAGATAGCCACTGGATGCTCTTAAACAACAGCACTGCCTGACTCCAGGACCCTTCTGATGCCCACACCAGCTGTCAGATGCATCTAACAGGACAACGCTGCAAGGGACCATTTGATTCACAAGAAAGGACCTTGGACAGGAAAGGGTGGACATGTGAACAACAGGCTATGACAGAAGGCAGAGGAAGCCAGTTGTCCTAAGAAAAGCATAATTACTTCAGAGATCAAGAGGATAGGACATTTATTTGGAACAGGAGCTCTCAACTTGTCCAATTAGCTTTGCACAATCTCCAAGAACCTTTCAGAGCATCTGTGGGGTGGAAATTATACTCATACTAAAGCAAAACAAACTCATTGCTTTGTTAATTCTGACTCATGGAGACCCCATGTGTTACAGAATAGAACTGCTCTACTTTTACTGGCTGTGATCTGCAATACAGACGGCCAGGAGCCAGGCCTTTTTCCCGCTGTGCTGCTTTGCAAAGGCTTCAAACAGCCAACCTCTAGATTAATAAACCGAAAAATCAAACTCACTGCCGTGGAGTCGCATCCGACTCATAGCAACCCCTCCTCGGCTTTCCAAGGCAGTATCTCTACAGAAGTAGATTGCCCAACCTTCCCAGGAGTGGCTGGTGGGTTTGAATCACCAGCCTTCTGGTTAGCAGTCAAGTGCCTTAGGCATTATGCCACCTGAGCTCCTTAGTAAAAAGATCTGCAAAAACATGTCTACTCTTCCTTTTTTGGTTTAGTTTTGGAAAATATAGTTACTTTTCATTTAAAAACAATATATGTACATTGGGTTCACTGCGTTTTTTTCTAATGAATTAAAATATTTTAATTCCTGAGTTTTAATTTCTAATACGATAAATATAACCCATATAAACAAAAGCTTTGAGGTTCTCAGTAAATTTTAGGAGGGTAATGTAGTTCTGAGATCAAGGAGTGAGAACCGCTAGTTTGGAGGAACCAAAAGTTCATGGATGCCACCTGCCATACTACATTGGCACGACAGGCAGAACTCGGAACTTGAAGCAGCCACAAGCTCTGCCACTTGGTAGCGGTGTGGCTTTGGGGACAACCCCCGCACTCGTAGGAACGATCACCACGGGTTAGGCACTGTGCTCAGCGCTTGAAATTTAACAATCACAGCTATGTATTTAACCAAAACAACTATGCGGCGGTAAGGCGTGTACTGGTATCCTCAAGTGGCGACGGAGAAAAGTCAACCAGGGTGAAAAAGGTCGCATTACAATACGTGGTGGCGTCAGGATTCGAAGCCACAACGTCTGGTTCCAGAGCCGCGGGCCACTCCCGCAACATGCTCATTCTCAGGACTTCGTTCCCTCCCATTTGTAGCTGGAATGGGACCTGAGGAAACTTCTCATGGAATTCAAAACCAGGACCCTCGCCAGCCTGCCCCAGGCTGCCAAAACCACCCACCGCCCCATTCCCCGCCACCTTCCGCACCAGCCTTCCCCGACGGTATCCGCGCCCGCTTTCGGTCGGAGGTGGCCCTCTGCCTCTTCATGCTCTACGCGTTGCGCTCTTGTCGGTCTTTAGTTTGTTTCCGCTCAGTCTGAGCTTCGGCGCGCGCGACCCGGCAAGCGCGTCCTCAACGGCTGCGCGCGACCCTGCGCGTCTCCGATTCCCACGGCCCAGCAGCACCCGCGAATACGGAGTCCCGCGCAGGCGCAATCACTTCTCCTTTCAGTCACCGCCCCCCGAGGGGTCGGGGGCGCTAGTTCTGCGTGACCTGGAAGTGGTTCTACTTTCGGAGTCCGAGAAAGGAGGCCATAGAGCGTTGAGCTGTGGAGGTGGCGTCCGTGCACTGTTTGCAGCATGCAGCGGTTGCTCTTAACGCCCTTGAAGGCATTGACGAGGAGCCCGTGTCTCCAGCTCTTAGTTCCTAGGGCGGCGCTTAGAGGACAGGTACCGCACGGCAGCGGATTCAGAGTCGCGGAAGTGGGGACGTGATGAAAGGGACAGGATACAGATAATCGATAACCTCACATCACATTTCTGAATCCCCTTACAGTTTACGAAGATTTTCATGTGTCTAGAGAGCCCTTGGTTCGGCTCCGACCCTACCACTTACTTACTAGCTGTGTGATATTGGCCAAGTTACTTAACTTTTCTGTACCTTTTATCTGTAAAATGGTGATGACAGTACCTACTTCATAAGGATGTTGAGAGAATTGAGTAATATACATCAAGCGCTTTGCACAAATAAAGCTCAATAATTTTTACCTGTATTTGATTTTTGCTAAAAGACTGTCTGCTAGTCAGGATAGGGACTATACCCCTAATTCTACAGAAAAGGAAATGGAGACTTAATTTGACTGATTTCTAAAGTCGCTTAATTAGAAGCAGAGCAGGAAAAGGAACACGGGTCTTTAGACTGGAATAGAACCAAGAGAGGGTATATGTTCATTGAACTGATGATTATTGAATAATTATTGTGGATTAGGAACTGGGAGCAGAAACATCAATAGGACAAAATTCCTGTCCTGGAGAAGATACAGCTCATTCACTTACTAATTTATTTGTCAAGTCTTAAAAGGTCTTGTTGGGTGAGGGCACTGTGCTGGAAACAGAGGTTGCAGGAGGCCTCCCTTGCAATGCTTCCCTTGCCAGACCGACCAGAGCCTCCTCTCAGAGCCCTTAGTGGGAAATGCAAACAGGTGAACCTAAAGGTATATCCCTGTTTGTTAAGGGGTGTGATAGGGGAGGTATGGTGTGCTCTGGGAGAGCATCTGAGGCACCCATTGCAGACTTGGGAGGATCTGGCACCATCCCCAGAGGAGGTGACATTTAAGCTGTAATCTGCAGTAGGAATTACTAGGCAAGGGACAAGGAGTGTCTCAGTCATAGACGTCATGTTTTAAGGCCTAGAGAAGAAAGAAAACAACCCATATTTAGAGTGTAGAGTTAAATCTGGGTGAGTATGCAGAGACTAGAAGGCTCACTCTAGGGTGGGGATGGTTGGAGTAAGGAAAGACAAGCACGGAAACCAGTAGGGAGGTGGACGCAGTAATCCAGATAAGAGATGACTTTCCAGGGACATAGAGGGGGAGGTGGCCAGATAGGGTATTCTACCCCAGACAGAAGGGTAGGTGTGAGTAGCAATGGAGTGACGCCTTCCCCCTCCTCCAAGTTGTAATTTGTCTGTCTTGATCCTTAGTGTGGTTGCATCTGTGGGATCAGACGCCCTTTGAGGCCAGGACAATACAGCACCATCTCTGAAGTAGCATTGCAATCTGGAAAGGGCACGTTGTCCCTTCCTTCAAAGACTGCTGAGCGGGTGGTGGGCCAATGGCTCCTGATCTGCAGTGGAACAGTGGCTGGAGCAGTTATTCTTGGTGGAGTAACAAGGTGAGTAATCACCAGAAAGTCAACTGTTTTCTGACGAAGGACAAGGTTGTAGTCACTTCTTGGCCACAGCCAGCTACCTGGAGGGAGCGAGTAGTTGGACCTGTGGGCTCAGAACCATGGTTGCAGGGGACATCAAGCTCAATTGGCCTAACATACTACACAAAAACATTGTCCCACATCCTACGTTAGTGAGTAGCAACTGGGATCTTAAAAGCTTGTAAGTAGCCATCTAGATGCAACAGTAGGTCTCTCCTTGCCCAGAGCAAATAAGAATGAAGAAAACCAAAGACACATGGAAACAATTAGTCCGAGGGACTGGTACACCATGCGATCCTCATCCTATATGACTATGACACCAGAAGAACTAGATGATGCCTGGCTTCCATTGTCAATCACTCGGAGGGGGATCTCTGTAGGAGATCCTGGATAGAGTAGGAGAACAATGTGGAACAAAACTCAAAATCATAAAAAAAAAAAAAAAAGGAGACCAGGTTTGCTGGTCTGCTAGAGCCTGGTGGGACCCCTAGACTATGGCCCCTAGCTGCCCTTCAGGTCTGGAATTGGACTCTCTCTTGTGGTTTCCACCCAAACAAAAAACAGGCATGTGAGCTGAACATTTACATTGGGTAGATACACTCCTTGGAGAGATCAATCATGGGAGAATAGAAGGGCTGTGTATGCACAGGGAGACAGCTCTTGGGGCAGGAGGGCATGGGAGGGAAGGACACAGGGAAGAGGTGACTATGGGGAGGAAGTGGGAAGAGAGCTGTTGCATTGTGGGAAAGTGCAATCAATGTCATAAAGTGTGTGTGAACTGCTGTGTGGAAAATGAATTTGCTCTGTAAACTTTCACCCAATCATAATAAAAATTTAAATAATAAAAAAAGCTGTTTTCGTCGTGAGTAGAATCATGGGATGCCCAAGAGAGAGGAGACCTTAGAGACCATCCAGTCTAGTTTCCACATTTTATAGATGGAGAAACTGAGGCTCATGTCATTGACCACAGTTTACCACAATGCAACAGCTCCCCTCCCACTTCCTCCCCATAGGTACCTCTTCCCTGTGTCCTTCCCTCCATACACTCCTGCCCCCTGAGCTGTCTCCCTGTGCATAAGCAGCTCTTCTTTCTCCCCTGATTGTTCTCTCTGGCAACCCTATATATGTTCTTGGGTACCCTCCCCATTTCATAGACATACCTAATCGTTTAGCCTGTCCACCCATCTATCCACCCATATACTCATGTTTGCCTTCACTGACAACGCAGTACTGTATGTGCAAAAGGGTTCATATTTATTGTCTGTACCTCCCATGTACCTCTCATGTCTTTCTCATCCTCAATGCTGCCATATTGGTCACTCATATTTGTTACATTGCCCTTCTCTTCACCCAAATCAATACTTATCTCTATCTA